CATTAAGATTCTCCCCTTGATGGTGATTGGAGTTTGTTGTTGTTGTTCTTGTTGGTGGTGGTGGTGGTGGTGATGTTGGTTGGATATCATCATCACTTGTGTCTTCTCTACATTCACTTGAAGTTCCGTCTACGCTGCTCTACCCTACTTCCTCTGTCAACTTGTTAGTTTTCACCTGTAGATCTTCAAGTCTGTATGACATTAGACATAAATGATCATCGACGAAATCCAAATCTTCTAGGATATTTTCTGCAGTCCACTCAGCGTATACCCCTCTTCTCGCTCCTCACATTTGTGTGCTGCGTGATCCAGTCGACTACAATCAGGGAGATCATGGGTGATAGAAGACGGCAACCTTATCTTACTCATATCTTCACTCCAAAGGTATCACTTATCTTCCCATTATGAATTACTTGGTATGTGGCATCTTCATGTGGTTGTTGAATGAGACTGATAAAGGTTTGTGGTATTTCGTAGTGTTGAAGTATTTTGCAAATTACTTGTCGGTCGACGCTGTCGAAGACCTTTTGAGAGTTGATGAAGTTGAGGTAGAGATCCAGTTGACAGCTATTCTATACTCTGTTCTATGGTTATTCTTAGCGTTGCAATTTGGTTCACACATGATTTGTACTTCCTGAATCCAGTTAGTTGTGGTTGCATTTTTGAATTCAGAACATTTTCTGTTTAGTCTCTCCAGGATGATACGGCATAATGTTTTGCTTTGGGTGGACAGGAGCATGATTCCTCGCCAGTTCTTGCAAGGTGACGAATCATTGTGGTCGAATGTAATTCAGTATTTATTGATTTGCTAGATTTGTCAATAAGTTTAACAGTACTGTTTACTGGATTGATAATTGATAAGTTTCTTAGGAATCGTAAAAAAAATGTAAGTAACACATGCATTAATGGTAATAATGATATAATGTTAATCACCTTATAGACAATACTGTGATGAGAGAATTTAAAACTTCTACGGTATTGCCATACAACGAAGACACCTCAGTAACAGCGTCATTTAAACCTACAAACTCACTTAGAAATAAACTTCGTAGGATAAAAAGATCCTGTTGATCCAGTTATACAGAATAGCTTAAAAATAATGGGAAATACTTGTAGCTAAGGTGGATAGTCTAGGTTGTATTGTATTCTCTGAGCTGGGTTGGTTATTCGTGAAGCTTTCATCGTCCTTGTAGATGAGATCATCAGGACTAACTTCATTATGAAGTTATCTTACCAAATCCCTTGTAACAAATGCGAGGATAAATGCATAGGTCGAAGTAATCAACCAGGGTCAGTTAGGCTATCCGAGAACAGTAAAATAGGTAGGTCGCAATTGGTCCATCCAAGTAAGATAAAGATTTTAGAAAAAAGCTCAGTCATAGTTAAGTATGCAACTACACACAAACACACAATATGATGGAACAGGGTGAAAATCCTCGAAATGAATATAGTTATAAGCATGGACATTGTGGTAGAATTTAACTCCATATTAGATATGCTTATTTGATGATATAACACACAGTGATGATACAGAATTATTTATTTGATGACAACGTTTCCAGCATAAATTATCACTGCTCATAATCATATCAATATGTAATCACATATTACTCCCGCTGTCTGATTTTTATAGTCCTGTCACCCACCTCATATTCTTTATTTCTATTGTGAGTAAACCTTTTCCCATGTCTCTCGCATAAGTGTTGCATCATTCCTGTTACATGTGTTGTGTGTTGGTTGGTTCGATGAACGAAGATACAGTAGGCAGTCTCCTTCTCTCTGCCCACTTAATTATATTCCATTTTGTCCCCTGTTTTAATGTGTGGTGGTGTGTTGCTAATGCATCCATTGCAACAGACCAGTTACTTTCCAGATTGTTAATCTGATTGGAATCTGTCATTCTATATTCAGCTAAATTCCTATGTTCCAATATTCTAACTGATCCCGACTGGCTAGTTTCATCTATGCATCTGACCTCGCAATCATTACATGGGATTTGATCAACTCCATTATTTTGCTTACTTGGTTCCAACGGATTCTCAAGCCACTCGACAAAGATTATCTCTGAATGAGTTTGTAGCTTTAAATGTCATTCTAACTAATTCCAGCTTTGTCGAGAATCCTACATAACGTTTCTGAGGTGTCTCACTTATATGGTAATACAATGGAGGCTGTGTACTCCTTTCTACTCGTTTTACTCTTATTGTTTTGTATGAAATTCTGAATGAAGTGTAGAGGATAATTATTGACTATTAGCTCTTCTTTCACATGCTTCAGTTCCTTGTTTAGGTTGTTGCACTGATTAGTCAGTTTTCTAGCTGTATCATTTAGCCATTTGAGTAAACCTGCCTTCACTGACTGACATTGGATGAGATGACTTGAAGTCTAGATACCTGTTGGAATGTGTGGGTTTTCTGTTGTCGGTAGTATCTAAACCATAGTCTATCCTTCGTTTCATTCTGCAATGCAACACAGGTAATTCTCCTTGTTCATTTTCTATCTCCTTGTGAGTGAATTGGATTGCACCGACTACTGAGTTAATGTGTGTGAGAAAATTGTCGATATGTTCTGCTTTCAACACAGTGAATGTGTCATCCATATATCGACACCGTTTTTTGCGTGTAGGATTGAACATTTGTACAGCCATGCTTTCCTAATGCAGAAAGTTAGGAGGAAATCAGTAATGTTTGAAAAGATGAGAAAAGATCTGAAGAAAAAGACACGCTGAGATAAATCATACACATGAAGGACCACCGTCTAACAGTAGATAGGAAATCGTTCATTTAGGAACAGTTTACTGAAGAGGAGACAGATAGAAAATGAGATGATACATAACAACCGATCGATGTCACTCAACAGGGATTTATTTCCGAAATATACAGAAATGATTAAGGAGTCAAACTAACGCTCTTGAACTGAACCATACAATGAAGTTATCAATTAAGTCATGAACAAAATAGCTTTGAAAATAAATAAAGCAATATCATTGTTGACACTTATCTGACATTCACGTTTACCACTTGTCGGTTGATACAATTGTAACCAGCATCAATTACGTGTATAAATGACAAGAAATTCGATACAGTAGAAAAATGTCTTTACATACACTCTACAGTAGATGTAAAGTTGGATGATCCTGACTTCCTCTTCATGTATGTTGATTAAACTTTTACTGGTAGTCAGTTCATTGCTTGAACTGATCTCTTTGTAAAAGAAATGGCTACTGAACTCAAAGGGATCTTTTAATCTATCAATAGATATAATATTTGTGGAATTCAGTGTAACATCTGAATAACAATACAAATCAGAGTCTTTAGAACTCAAGTTATGGAGTGAAATGAAATAGGCTTGAATAAAGTTGAAAGTATAGATAGAAGGTGGAATGTAAGACTTGATTTGAAATTGTGTCACTCATTGCCAAAATCAGAGAATTACTTGCTCAGCTAATCAGGTCAGAACTGACCTCCATCTATAGGAATGGATCATCCATCCAGATCAACCTAGGACAAGGCATTACTGCATGACGGTCCAACTTGCCACACCTCATATCAGTACATCAAGTAAAAAGGGAGTGAGGCGCAAGATAAAGATAGGAGAATGCAGTCAGAAGAAATATAAAGTACGAGAAGAAAGAAACGAGGAGTGACAAAATGGTGAGATTCGGTATAGCGTGATTAAGATGAGGATAATCTGTGTGGGGATACATCTGCGCCACTGACATCGGTTCTAACCCATATCACCTAGAGTCTCCAGCTACTGCTTCCTCTTGTCCCGCCGACCCCAACCACCTAGTCTGCATTGCCCCACATGGCTCAAACCAACAGTCAGAGACTTCATACACTGGTGCGATGTTTAAGTCTGGCCACCTCGGACCTTTTTCCAGCCTGGACCTACTTCAGCCAACATTGTGTGACGAAGCAATCAGTGACTAGGCATACGTAGTACGTATTCCAACCATGCCAGTCGATGAAGGTTCTCAACCTGGTCAACCAACTTACCTCTTATCCCTAAAACTCTACACCTGACTTGTGCATTACTCACGTGGTGACACCACGGAATACGGCCTATACTACGAAGGCAACGGAGGTCAAACACATGAAGCCAGCCTTCTCATGTCTTCCACAGTCAGTGACCATGTTTCACAGCCATACAGTAAAACAGACGTGACTGGTGTGCAGTACTTTCGACGCTCCATAGACAATTGAATTTTACGGCGGCGCCACAGGTGGCGTAAGTTTTCAAAAGGCAATCGAGCCTTTGTATTCGTGCACAGATTTCACGGGCCACTCAGCCACGAGGCAGGGCTGATCCTACTTCCTAGGTAAGTGAAGTGGTCAACACACTCAACCACTTCACTCTCAATTGCTAACCGTGGCATCGTTGAACACCAATCCTGGAGCAGCAATTTGCATTTATGTGGTGAAAATCGCATCCCAAACATTCTCAAATTCCCACTCAAAGTGTTCAGAAAACTCTGCATCTTGTCAACGTCTTCACAGGACTAACAGAACTATGTCATCTGCATATTCTAGACCTAACGAAAATTCTCCACTGATTTGGTCAACGTCTGTGTAACCTGGTGACGAGAGGGAGACCTCCATAAGAGTATCTATGATGAAAATGAATGGTAATGGAGAGAGTGGGCACCCTTGACGGACACCACTAGACGAGCATAACTCCCTGGACAACTCACCATAGACTCTAACATACCCACAAGTGTTCGAGTAGAGAGCCTTCAATAAAGTGATATACTTACTCACTATAGGAATGGATGATACATGTGAATTAGTCATCAGTGAATGATCGATACAGAGAGAAAGTTATGCAACTAGGCAGTTTCTCGTCATAACAATAGACACAACTGAGTGGGATAAAAATAACTACACTTTATCAAGTAAACATTATTCTCTGTATTCAAAACATCAGTGATACATTTTCTGTTATTTGAAAACTGTCTACACATAACATGATCGTGTTTCGATTTTCTTTTCCCACCTTAGAATTTTATTCGCTTCTATTAAAACATTCATCGTTGATATGAACAGTTTACAGTGTACCAAACAGACACCAATCGACTAGTGAAGTAGACCGAACCAATACACGGTAAGTAATTTACAAGTTGTCCTGCTTCAAACAGATAGATAACTTCTTCGTTTGAAATAATAAGTCTCTTTTAGGAATTTAGATGATTGAAATAAGGAAATGATGGAGGTTAACTGAGAAATGTGATGCATATTTGCTTAATACATTTGGAATATATGAGCATATGTGTCAACAGACATGGATAAATTCTACCGAGTGGAGCAAAAGGAAATTGAAGTACCAATCAACAAAAATTGATTCACTTTGCACATGGGATGGTCCGTGGGCTCTAGTGGATAACGATTTTGTTTTGGTTTTAACTCTCTTTGGGAATAGTATTACTTACGGAGGTGCAAGTGCATCCAGCTGACAAATGAGTTCCAAACAGGAAGAAACGTTTGTCTGGATTCAACTGCTCACCACTCAGGTTTCTAGTCACATGCATTTACTTGTCAAGGCAGCTTTCTTTAAAAGATTAAAATACGATAGGGTGAGATAAATAAGGCGGAGGGGAATCGAAAAGTATGATCGTAAGATGAAGGTTGAATTCCTTCTTTGGAAAACACATACTATGCAGCCAAGCTCAAAATCGTAGCAAAACGACACATGTGCTTCAAAATAAATCTACTCACTATACAGGTTATCACGTCACATCCTATTGTGTATACCAGTTTACATGCATGCGTCATGATACATGAAGTAGAAGGAGTAATCGAACTATGAAGTCAAGGTTGACACAACATATCGTTAAATGGCTGTACACATAGTCACATTCAAATAATCCGACCAATACAGGTCGCAGAAGGACGTCGTCGTCCACAGGTAAATACATCGTAGAAACAGGTTGCAGGATTGACCCTCAAATTAACCTTTGGACCATTTTATAAGAACTGTTAAGATCGTATCCTTCAGTTTATTGAAGCCTCAGTTATACGGAAGTTCAAACCTCCCTTGTGTATTCAAAATCAATGCGTCTCTACCCTGGACCTCCACTGATAATCTTCATCTCATCATAGTACCATGAGAAGAGTGGAAGTGTATTGCTCTTCCATATTATCCCTATATTTTCCAAATATTGTATAATCCTAAATTACTCACCTTATGCCACTCTATTTTCCCCTTTCGTATAAAGATGCCTTGAGAGGTAAATGTGTGACCAGATCACTGAAAATGTATTTCGGCAAATACATCATACATTTCTCAGATAACCTTTGTCATCTTCTGATTGTATTATCGAAAAGTTGACCTATTAAAAACCAACTTTTCATGAAGCTGAGTTCACCTACCACGTTTTGTAATCCTCCTTACCAGCCTCAAGTCAAAGATCTGTTTACGCTCACGATGAGTAGAAATTTATATACTTTAAGAAGTACATTGTGAAGCTATCATCCAAAATGATACTTTAGTGACGATGGTTAAAGTGACCAAGTTTCTTTTTTGAGACGTCTGCCACAGTCGACATTAACTGAGCAACCACTGAACATCTGTTTCGTGCTTATCGAAGACTTCTTCACAGTCTAATCATGATATCATGAAAATGGAGTCAGGGACCATTCCAACTCCTGGCGAATATGTTATCATTCAAAAAGTGAATTATTACGCAGTGGTTAAATGTTAATATTCTCACCGCAAGAACTTCTTGATAAACTGCTGATAAATCGAAAACTAGAACTAAAAATGTGTTGATCTACATTTATTATTATTATCCACCTAATGAATAGTTGAAATCAGTCATTTTCAGAGAAATTAGTTACAAGCGAACCTTCTAAGACAATAAAAAAGGAACTTTACCTTCTTGTTCATGTAACGCTATAGACGTGTTGACATGAACCACATTGAAACAACAGTTTAGTAGTTATGCCTTCCTGGTAGTTTCAGTATAAACGGAAAATAAGGGGAATATGACACCTATCCTTTGTTTTCAGGGATTATTCGCTCTATCGATATCCTGATGGCAGAGACATGTAGTTATTCGGTACTATTATTTTCGAGAAATGTGACTAAATAAGGTCATCAGTTTCTGATGTAGATAAAATGTTAACATTACCTCTAGAAAATAAGTTCATCAGGATAATGTTGTATTTCAACAAAGGATAACAAAGTACAATTCGTGTTTACACTTTAAACTTCAATTGTGATCATTCTTCTTCATATGCAAACAAACATGAATAAATAGTGAAGGAGATCATTTGAGGTGCAAATGCGTCATCGGTGACATTTACAGCAGCAGCAGTGAGTGACATCGCTCGAGATCTCCCAAGAAATATCAGTTTCTTTTAAGGTAGTAAGTTTGCCTTGTTGACGAGTACCATCAATGTATCTCGACTATCGTTTTCAGACACTTAAAACTAGCCCTTTTAATTCTCCAGTTATCAAACAGTGTACCTAATCCAGCCAGTCCTACAAGATATCATTCACAACCCAACCATTTCGGTGGTAAAGTCTCAAACTACAGTACAGGCTGATGTGGGTTTGAACCTATATGGGTACACTAGTTGGTTTAAGGTTGAGAGTTCGCTTTGTTAAGATGTAGCAGTGGAGTGGGGCTGCCTACCAATCAACTCTAGGAATCTAACCGTTAATACACACCCAATCATTTCTTGTTGACAAACTACTTTATTAAAGAATATGAGGAAGGCATTATAGTCTTTCAAAATACAAATTCACCATGAAATCCTAGATGACTATAGATAGTTAGGAAATCGTTGCAAGGTTAGGTTACATGCTCACTGTCGTCAAACCTTCATAAGACTTATACTGTCTAAGGAATTTGAACCCAGTGTAACAATGACTGTTGTATATCCTTAGGTTAGTTCCTCAACCTAAACAGGTTTCATAAGACCAACTATTTTGGTGTCAAAGAAGTTTTATTACACCAATTTTTTCTTTCTTACATTTAGAAAAGAACTAGTGAGATGAATGATAAAGGAATCCATATGAAAGAGGATGTCAACTATTCTCATGATAATAAACATCTAGAGTTTGATTTACCGTCATTACTTGCTTCAGGAAAATTTTTCATTGATGAATTAGGCTTTCTTGTTGCACCAAATGGTACACGTTTTCGTATACCTTCAGGTCCTCCAGAAGGTCGTAAACCTTTGAGATTAGATAAAACTCGATCAAACAAAGAATTTTTAAAAAATAACTTAAATTCTTCAACAAAATTCATACATAAATCATATCAAACAGCTCATATAGAACTACAAGATGGTAACAAACCGATAAACAATGGAATAAAGCGACAAGAGTTAAATTTTAATAATTCTTTTCTAAACAGAGAAAATCATAATCTTTCAAGATTATTACTATCATCGAATAGTGAATTTACAAAAACATCATTCAGTACACTAACAACAACAACATCATCATCAAGACTTGAAACAATAGCATCAAATAATTCTTCGCTTTATAATCTAATCAATAACAATCATTTTCCTTCAGATATTTTACATTCTGTTGACTGGAATGTCATTTTATTGACATTAATTATCAGTTCAATCTCTTTAGTTTGTAATACAGTACTGATTGTTTTATTATCATGGAGAATAAGTCATTATAAGAAGTGGAAGAAAGAGAAATATTCATTAAATATTCTATATGATAATAATAATAATAATAATAATAGTAATGAGAATGAAAAGGTGCCAATGTATACTGAATCAACATGTACAGATCGATCACCGAGTAATCTACCAACGTGTGAATGTATACTTGATCGTATACATTATCCATGTATACATAAAAAATCATTTTATTCAAAGAATGATAACTTAAAGTATAAAGTTGGCAAATTATCAAATTCTTGGTGTTATACAAATCAACCATGTGAACTATTATCTCAAGTATATCATCATAACAATAAAAGGTGTGTACATAATATACATCAATTATTATGTAATAATAGTAATAATAATAATAATGATAATAATAATGTTTATACTTCAACACAAAAATGTCAATATAAAATAATGAATGATAATAATTGGCATATAATTTCTAATGATACAAATAATGACAATGAAGATGATTCAGATGAATCGAAAGCAAACTCTGAGATACTTTTTACACCACAAATAAATAAATGTAAAGAAAATATTTACTAAAGAATCAATTTAATATGAATAATTTAAATAAATTGAATAAAATATTAATGTGTAAAGATATTATAAATCTTCCTATTGAATATCAATTATTATTTAATGAAAAATATAAAATAATTAATAATTCAATTATTATTTATAATCAAAATGTTTATATATATCATACATTAGGAATACATTTAGGTTTACTTGGTATATTATTATCTTTAATACAATTAATTACAATTTGTATTGCATTAATAAATCATAGTAAACAAATTAAAGCCAATGAAAAAATCAATTATGAAATTTCATTAAGTACAGAATTTATTTGTCTTATATCAAATTCATTAGCTACAGATTCTATTCTATGTGCAAGATTATACTTATTAACAGCGTTTATAATTGGTTTATTTATTATATTATATATAAAAAGTATTATAAAATATTTTTTAAAAATTACACAATTAAGTAATTATGAAATATCAAAAATTTTTCTTTATCAATATATATTACGTAATAATAATAATAATAATAGTAATAATTCTCAGCAAAGTTTTGCATATATTGCTTTAATGCATTCATTACCATGGGCATTATCAGCTGGTACAGCTTTATTAATTGCATTTTCATCATTTTATCCAATAAATCAATATTCTACAGAATTTAATCCAATAATTAATGAAACACAAATATTTATAAAAAATATTAAACCAACAGTTAATGTTCTTTTTCAAGGATTAGATTCATTATTAACCTGTTCAATAAAATTATCCTCTGAGACAATAATAACTTATACATCATATAAACAATTATTAAATTATACTGGAATAAAATTATCTTTTAATTGGTTTTCATCATTTTTATTAATTATACTTCCTTTAATTATACAAACATTAGTAATTATATTATTTATTACATTAATATTTATTATTCGTTATATAAATCAAAAGAAAACATCTAATCGGAATAGATTTAAATTATCGAATAAATCATTTTTAGTTATTTTATTTATACTACTCATAGAAATAATTAGCCTATGTACACCAATTCTATATAATATAATCATTTCTTTATATCCAAATTATAAAATTAAGCTAATATTAATTTCTAGAATGATTATGTTACATTTATTAATTGATCCTTTATTAATAATTTGTATTTTACAAAAATTTTGGAAAGATGATAAAATATTCGCTCATATAAGTAAATATGATTCAATTAATAATTTAACATCTTCATCAATAAATGAACCTATTCAAAGTGATCTATTCAATACTAATAATCAAGAAATGAAAATTATTGAAAATAAAGAAACTAAATCATTACATTCTTCACCAATTCAATTATTCAATTGTTTTCCAATGAATACAAATACATTTTGTTATAATAGAACACCAAATTTACAATCATTTGTAATGCCTTATCTTCCAGCTTCAGAATATCTACTACCAACTATTGATTCAATTTGTAATTCAACTGGATTAACTGATACTAAATTACATACAGATATGAATTCCAGTGGATTTATTCTACCAGTTAGTGGAATAAGTAATGAAACATCTAGTCATATGATAGCTAATACACTGCATAGTATCTATTCAGATAGTCTTCATGATACTTCAATCAATCATAATTCAATTTCTATAAGAAATAATCAACTAATTACTAATCCAACTTCATTATCAGATACCTTACAAACATCAGAAACTGACACTAGTCATAGTCAAATATATACATATGGAAATATACAAGAGGCTTTTCCTCAACTCTGTCAACATCATCAACGCTTATTAGAACAACAATATGAACAACCATGTATAACTACAACAGTTAAACGTAATCGTAATTTTGGAAGTGTTCCGCGCTTAAAACAACCTATCCCAGATTTGAATACATTACTTAATGTTAAACCAATAAATGAATCATTGTGTAGACAACATTCACCTCCACCAATGAATAACACAAAACCTGAAATTACAACAGAGATAATATCATCATTTCAATATAGACAAACTATGGGACAGAGTACTGCAACTGCTGCAGTTATGGCAGCAGCTGCAGCAGCAGTAGCTGCACAAGCTGGTAAATTGTCTAAACCAATCAATTCAACTATTTCTATGTCTACAATAGATCCATTAAATTTGACTAATGGAATGCCACCAAGTCCATTATTTGTTAGTGAACAAAAAGAGATTGATGAAACTTTCAATGATATAAATTCTTTGACAAATTAATCACTTATCTCTTGAAATAAGCTCAATGTAACTATTTACTTCTATTGTTATCAACTATCTAACCTCATTATTGAATACATATACATATATTTGATGCTTTAATGAGTGTATTAGATAACTACATATACTTGTAAACATCATTTTTATTTCATAATTTATTGCCGTAAAACTAAACTTTATTAATAGGAAACCTAGAGAAGGACCAATTAGGTTGCAACGGTTGTATATCAAGGCTATTCGATACATCCATCCACCAAGTTGTTAAAACTGTATAAATTGTTGATAAAGAGATGGTTTTTATCTTTCGTTGTCTCAGAAGAAGAAATCTTTGAGAAAGGGATCATTTTTTTTTGAAAAGATCTCACCTCATTCTCCAATAAAAAAATCATTTTAATACTACATTTGGTTTCTGAAACACTTTGACAAATTTCAAGTTGTTCTTCGTCGTAGACTGATATCAGTTGGAGGAATTAAGGAAATATGGGAGCATTGGACAGGTGTTTCATCCAACTAGTATGGGACTCCTCAGTGGTGAGCACCCACCACCCCGCACCACCAGGAATCGAACTCGTGATCTTCAGGTTACGTAGCCAGCACGTTACCATTGAGCTAGCCACTGGGTCAGAAGCCAATCATCCATATCTCAAAATTCTGTTAGCTCACGATGTAGTGCAACCACCACCCAATGTTATCGTTGAGTAACTGTCCTCGCGACCATCAGCTTTGTTCCCACCGGTCACTACTTCTCACTGGAACTTCGGGAATACCTCTCGAAGCTAGTCACCAATGAGCACCAGTCCAATTGAATTTTGAGGGAGTTGTGAAGATTTGGAAATATTTCAAGTTGCTATTCATCGTAGACGTTTTTCGTTATATCGTAACAAAAGATTTAATGCAGTAGATTATTGTAATTGGCTAGTTTGCTTTTTGACTGACCCCACTGAAGGACTTAGTAATCAACGTCAAACAAGTAGGCATTTACTTTAATTTTGGTGATCCAGCATCCTGTGTGTTTGTGTGTGTGTATGGTTGAACACCATAAAATAATTTGTCTTTTCCTCCCTCAAAATTCAATTGGACTGGTGCTCATTGGTGACTAGCTTCGAGAGGTATTCCCGAAGTTCCAATGACAACTCGTGACCGGTGGGAGCAAAGTCTGATGGTCGTGAGGACAGTTACTCAACGATGATATTGGGTGGTGGTTGCACTACATCTTTAGCTTACAGAATTTGGAAATATAGATGATTGGATTGTGACCCAGTGGCTAGCTCAATGGTAACGTGCTGGTCAAGGAACCCAAAGGCCCTAGGTACGATCCCTGGTGGTGCGGGTGGTGGGTGCGCACTGCTGCGGAGTCCCATACTAGTTGGACGAAAAACCTGTCCAATGCTCCCAGGTTTGCTTTGTTCCTCCAAGTGATGTCAGTCTACGATGAATAACAACTTGATATGTTTCTAAATCCCCACAACTCCCTCAAAATTCACTTTGACAGATGTTAATGAAGTTTCTTCAGTCCAATGGTATCAATCCTGCAGAGATATTTGCGTCGGAATGATATACAGGTTAAATGTGAAGCTTCGTGGCATAGGTAGTATGGCTGAAACAGGTGAATATCTTGTTCGAAACATAAAAGTAACTAAGGACGATGACATAGTAAATATCAGGGAAGTTACATATGTCCTGACAAATTACGGATTCTTGGTATATACATCCGAATTACGAAGGAAAGGCATTTTAAGTAAATAAGGGATAGATAAAAGAAATCTGTCTTATCAGTTACAGAAAAATAAGGAGAATCAAGTACTAAAATCTATACAGATGTTTGAAAGTCATACATACCATTACTGTTCACTTAAAGTGGCTTCATTAGTCAAACAACACTCCCAAAGTTGAAAATATGGTAGTAGTCTTAGAAACCTTTCAAGACCCTAACATGATGATGAACCATTTGAAAAACAGGATATTTTAACTTCTCATATCGAACAGATATATGGATCATAAATAAAGTACCAGTTTCCTGAATAAATGTGTTGTCCTTCACATTCTGAATTCCCATTGGTCAGTGCACACTTGAACGTGATTGGCCGTCACTAAAGTTTAGTTCTTCCTTTATTATCCGAGAATGTTCAGATGTAGTTGTTGTCTGAGCTCAGTTTTTTACTGCCAATTATTCCAGTATCATCCCAGATATCGTCATCAGTACTTCACGAGAAAAGGTTTCTTCCTAGCGAATAGGAAATTCTTCTTTGCAAGATGTCAGCAGTGAAGTCACATTGAAAGTCACTATTTGCGTAAAGTATCTTCTTCGAAGCTGAAAAAAGGTATCACTGTCTGTGGTTTAGTTTTTATGTCCTTGTTAACACATCGCGCTGAATATCAATTTTCATTAAGTTTATTTGGGAAATATCAATTCTCCTTCTTCAAAGTCATCAGTGCTACAGATTTGTCTAATGCGATGGGGAACAGGCGCAGTTCTATCTATGGGACACATGTATGATATGAACATTCATTGAACTTCCACAACTGGACACTTAAAAATCGAGTAATAAACCTTATAGTGTTAGGTGCCTAGCGTATCCGACAGATCTGCGGTACTGACGACCTAGAAGAAAGAGAACTTATGTTTCCCAAAGAAAAATTTTGATTGAAAACTAGTATTCGGCACAATTTGTAAGCAGGAACATAAGACCTTAACCACATAAAGCCACAACTGTATTTCCGTTTCGAAGAAAACACTTTACATGAATCATGACAGTGCATCAATATTTGCAGTGTGCCAGTATTATAGAAGTGATGGCCAATGGCCAGCAGTAGAATCCAGGACTCGCTTTTTGTCCTATTTAAGACTCGTCAGTTGGAGTGATATTGTCCACCACCTGAACTCAAAATCGGAACTGATGGCTTGAAACCCTACAACGTTACCCACTAAACCACTGGGTTGCGATAGACACTTCGTGTGCTACTAGTACAGTTTAAATGTTGCTACTTGTATTATCCTGTTGTTGTGTGATATGAATTTGATCCGTCTCTATTGGTATATAGACTCGTAGGCGGATATCTCAACATTACAACTTTGTTTGGTCACAATATGATGATTATTATATTTATTATTCGTCCCTTGGGTTCCTAATGGAAAATAGGGCTTCACTAGCACACCTCCAATGCTCTCTGCTCTCTGAAATCTTTTCAACCTGGCTCCACGACAACCCAAAACCTCTCATTTCCTCCTCGCACGATCTCCTCCATGTCACCCTCACCTCCGACGCCAAACTCGTCGCTTCCCATCAAAGTTCCACTCGACGAACTGGCCTGATGCGTGATGTCCCCTGTCGGCCTCCTCACTGTATGCCCAATCCATCTCCACTTCATCCCACTGAATATTTGTTGAGTGATAGGTTCTTACTTCATTGGTTCGTTGCCAGCCAACCAGAGTTCCTTCTTGCTTGTTCTTTCTCGCCTTCTCATCTGATCTTCAGTAACGAGCCAGAGTAGGCGGCAGTTGTTGATGCACATCTGTAGTTTGTTGGAAATCCCTTTGGTAACGCGCCAAGAAGCTGAACCATACAGAAGCAGTGACTCACGTGACTGGATTGGTGTTGAAAATCCGCATCTTGTTTCACATGCTGAGTGCAGTGCAGAAGACCTCCACACTGGTTGCAGGCTAATGAACACCTGTCTAGCCGCCTTTCCGATTCTGACTCTGACATCCTCGTCTGTGCCACCTGTAGTTGAAACAGTGCTGCCTAGATAGGTGAAGGAGGTTACTTCCTTTGAGTTTCTCCCATTGATGGTGATTGTAGCTTGTTGTTGTTGTTGGAGTTGTTGGTGCAATATCTTCATCACCTCCATCTTCTCTATATTCACTCGAAGTCCCGTTCTCGCTTCCCTGCCTCTTCTACCAACTTGTTAGTTTTCACCTGTAGATCTTCAAGTTTGTGTGACATTAGACATAAATGATCATAGGCGAAATCCAAGTCTTCTGGGTTCTTTTCAGCGGTCCACTCAGCGTATTTCACTCCCCTCGCTCCTCACACTTGTCTGCTGCATGATCCAGTTTAGTACAATCAGGAATATCATGGGTGATAGTAGGCAGCAGCCTTGTTTCACTCCTGTCCTTACTTCAAAACCATCACTGAGCTTCCCATTGTGAATTACTTGGCATGTGGCATCTTCATATAGTTGTTGAATAAGGCTGATAAGGGTTTGTGGTATTCAGTAGTGTTGAATCAGTTGCCGAATTGCTTGTCGGTTGACGCTGTCGGAGGCCTTCTCAAAGTGGATGAAGTTGAGGTAGATGGTGTAGCGTTGTAGCGCAGTGTAGCGTTGCAATTCGATCCGCACATGATTTGTACTTCCCTAATCCAGCTAGCTTGTTCTGGTAGTAGCTTTGAATCCAGTACATACTTTAGTCTCTCCAAGATGATGTGGCATAATATTTTGTCTGCTTTGGGGTGGACAGGAGAGTGATTCCTCTCCAGTTCTTGCAAACACTGAGGAAGCCCTTCTTCGACAGTTTGACAAGGTAACTCTTCTTCCAACCGCCAGGTACCTCCTCTTCCTTCCACACCTTCTGCAATAGTGATGCGGTGTGAGCATGTCCACTGTTGTCCTTGTATCGGTTCTCAGTGCTTCTGGTGGGATTCCATCTGGTCCTGCTGCTCTCTCGCATTTCAGTAGCTTCATGGCATTCAGGACATCGACTTCTGTTGAAGAATTTGTGTTTACTTGTAGTTCTGTGTTTGGTGGTGATATTTCTGGACGAAGTGCAGGTGGTGGTGGTGGTCGATTCAAGAGCTTTTCGAAGTGGTCAACCCATTGTTTCCTTTGTTTCTCTTCTTTCATAATTAGACTTTCGTCATCATCTTTATTGGCTTCATCTGTGCTGTGTTGATCTCTTCCCTACCACATACCAGTAACCTGGTTATTTGATACAATGTTGTCAGGACTCTGTTTCTCCTACCAGCAGGCAGCCTGTTCTGCTTCACTTGCCAGTGTGTCGT